AAACAAACAAACAAACAAACAAACAAAAATATATATATATAGTTGACATTCATTATTATTCAGCTTCAGCTTCAGGTGTACGGTGCAGTGGTCAGGCACCTACACGGTCCATGAAGTGGTCTCCCTAATAAGACAAGTGTCCATCGGATACCCTACAAAATCTTTACAACATTATTGATTATATTCCCCAAACTGTCCCTCGTATCCCTGTGGTAATCTGTGGTTACCAATTTGTGCTCACCTTCTCCCTCATTCCCACCCCCCTCCCATCTAGCAGCGCTCAGTTTTTCCTCTATTTCTCTGAGACTGTTTCTGTTTAGTTTGCTCATTTATTATTCTATTCTTTAGATTCCACATATAAGTGAGATCATATGGCATTTGTCTTTCTCCACTTGACTTATTTTACTTAGCATAATGTTCTCTAGGTCCATCCATATCGTTGCAAATGATAATACCACCCTGAACACGCCCAATCTCGTCTGATCTCGGAAGCTAAGCATAGTCGGGTCTGGTTAGTACTTGGGTGGGAGAGTTTCTTGAACTTTATAAACAAAGAATTTTGATTTCTCTCACTAGTTTCAGTCTATTTATGAGCTAGTACAACCCAAAATAGAAGAAGGTAGCACATTTTGGTTTTTATATGCTTCACAAATATGATGTTTACATTTCCAGATCTTTATCCTTTGTTAAAATGTTTCTTTCCAAATATGAGGAGAGAAATATATTGGTACTTGAGTATGTGGGGCTAAAAAACAATTCCATCTAGATAACAACAAAAAAATGTGTTAGTTTCAGTTTCCGTCCACAACAGCTAGTTGTTATACAGTCCTGTTTCTAAAGAGAAATCCATCTTGTACAAGACAACACTGCCTACCTTTGGCAGTAGGCTGTCAGCAGCAGTGTGACAGATGCGTTTCTGTTGACACATTATGCTAAATTGAGGTCTAGTGGGAAACTGAAGTAACCAGTCCTTTTCCATGTTTAAGCAATAGCGTTAATATGCTTGAAAACTCGTATTTGAAAATGCAAAAGCCAGGAATAATTCCCTGCATTACACATTCTTGGATATCAAAGCTGAGTATTAGCTGTCTTTCTACAGGTGTGAGCACGTCTGACTAACATAGGAGTCATGTGCCGTTGTTCAGAGTGCATTAGTGAGATAGCTCTGGGTTAGCATTTAAATAGACCCATGTATCCAGGTGGCCCACAATTTTCAGATTAAAAAACAAACATTTACTATTTGACCTTCTTATCTCTGATTACAAACATATTACATGTTGATTATAGAAACTTGGGGGAGTAAAGAGAAATACAAAGGAGCAAGGAAAAGAATTACCTGTAATTCAAGGACCTTCAAACACCACTGTTGACATTTTGAAGTACTTCTGTTTAATCCTTGGAGCGGGGGGTGTTGAGGGGAGTGCTTTTTTACATATGATTCAGTTCTATATGCTTTCTGTTGTTGTAACATTGGATCATAAACATTTTTTGCATGCTGATAAAATTTCTCTGTGACTTTCATGTTAAAGACAGCCTAGTCTTCCATCTCACTCAGTGTGAGATAATATTATATATGTACAGAGGGTGCCAAAAAAAGTATAAACATTTTAAGAAAGGAAAAAAAACTATATTAAAATTACACTGATGGTAACTACTTTGAGTACCTCTTGTAATTGCAGAAGTCATATGTGACTTGTATTCATATTTTGTTATCAGTATATGTTGAGTATTACAATTTTAATAGTTTTTTCCTTTCTTAAAATGTATACGAGGTCAGACAATTAAGTTCATGAACTCATCCTAGAACAGGTGCTACATACCTCATTGCTGAATATCACTATGGTCACCTTTGAAGAACTCCCCTTGGGAAGTTAGGCACCAACACCATCGCCTAGTCCACCCTTCAAAGCAATTTTGGAACTCTTTTTCTGGAATGGCCATCAGAATTGTCGTCATTTTACCCTTGATGTCCTGAAGGTCATCAAAATGTCTTCCTTTCAATATTTCCTTTATCTTTGGGCAAAGAAAGAAGTCATTGGGGCCAGATCAGGTGAGTAGGGACGGTGTTCCAACACAGTTATTTGTTGACTGGCTAAAAACTCCCTCACAGACAGAGCCATGTGAGGTGGTGCATTGTTGTGATGCAAGAGCCATGAATTGGCGAAAAGTTCAGGTCATTTTCGTTTAACTTTCTTATGCAGCCTTTTCAGCGCTTCCAAATAGTAAACTTGGCTAACTGTTTGTCCAGTTGGTATAAACTTAGAATGAATAATCTCTCTGATATCAAAAGAGGTTAGCAACATTGTTGTAACAAGTTCATGAACTTAATTGTCTGACTTCGTATACATTTTTTTGGCACCCTCTGTAATATGTGTATTGGTCTCTGTTCCTAGTTGCTGGCACAGAGCAGCTAAGTGATAAGAGCAGTGGGAGCATCTTTTGTTCTAATGATAGGACTCTGGGTAGGCTCTAGATGGGACCTGTCAACAGAAATTAGAAGCTTGAAATTTTCAGCCTTCTCCTCCCCATCCCCTACTTCTCTAGAGAGGAGAGTGGCTGGAAATTGAGGTAATGATCAATCGTGCCTACATGGTAAAGCCTCCATAAAAATTCCAAAGGTACAGGGCTCAGGGAGCTTCCGGGGTGCTACACACACGGAGGTGCTGGGACAGCGGCAGCTGGGAGAGGGTGTGAAAGCTCCTCTTTCCTTCCCACATCAGGCCCTACACCTGCCATCCATCTGGACGTTAATCTGTACCCTTTAGCATATCCTTTTATAGTAAACTGGTATGCAGTAAATAAATGGTTTCCCTGAGTCCTGTGAGCCACTCTAGCAAATTAATGGAACCCAAGGAGGAGGTCGTGGGAACCTCCAATTCATAGCTGATCAGTCAGGAGCACAGATGACAACCTGGATTTAAAATTGGCATCTAAAGTGGGGGCAGCCTTGTGGGACTGAGTCCTTAATCTGTTGGGTTGGACACTATCTCCATGTAGTGTCGGAATGAGTTAAATTGTAGGACTCCCAGCTGGTGTCACATAATTGCTTGGTGTGAGAAATGCCTCCACACATCTGGGTTCAGAAGTGTTATGAGTGTGGTATAGTGTGAGAATAAAGGAGAAACACAGGAGAGAAAGTGAGTTTTTCCAACTCAGTGGCTTTACAGTGTCCTCAGAGACCTAGGTTCTTATGTTACTCTTGACATTCAACATAATGACTTTCATTCTGAAGTTTACCTCATGGTCCAAAATGTTTGCTAGAGATCCGGCCATTGTGTTGGCATTCCAGCCTTCATTTTGAGCAGGTGGTTCAAGGATGGATACAAGAAGGCACATCTTCCTTTTAGGATGATTTTTACAACTCTTTTGTTTCCATCTTGTGGGCCAGAACTTAGTCCCTTAATCATATCTTGCTGGGGAAGGCTGGGAACTGTAATGATCTTTCTCAGTGTACTGTTGTCCCTACGTAGTTTGGGCATTCTGCTTGTAAGGAAGAAGGGGAGGATCGGGATTGGTGGGCGATAAGCAATCTACCACCAATAAACTCAGCATTAAATTCAAATGTTAGACAAGTAACAGCAAAATAAACCTATTAGGAAGAAGGAAAAAATCAAGATAAAAGAAGAAATCAGTTAATTTGGGGGGGACCCAAATACTGAACATACAGAAGGTTATTGATGCTCATTACCAAAGTAATCTCAGTGGTTTGGTGGAGATGGAAGGCAGAATGCATAATGTTTATAAGGACAGAAAACAAATGGCCTCTTGGATGGGAGACAGAAGACGTTGGGGTTTGTTTGGGGGATGTTATTAGTTGCTTGCTTTGAAGTGGAGGACAGCCTGAACATGAACATATAAGTAGAGAGGAAGATGTAAGAGATAGTTGATCTTTTTATATCTCAGAGGTATATTTTATTTATAATTTCTAGAATAATGGTTTCATTAGTGCCTCAGGATTCTTTAGTTGTTGTGATATATGTGCTATTAAAATAAATACTCTTTTTGTTTTTTAAAATTGGGATGGGACCAGCGCTGGGGAATTGGGGGGAGGGGAACAGACAAGTTGCTGTCCTTTTGTTCTTCAGTCTAGTTGTGGAGGACGTTGCTTCACTGGCCCAAGTTGGCACCATCATTGCGCTTTTNTGAGCTGTTGTTCAGCATCTTAGCTGTGGAGGGCAGTGTCACTGGCCCTCATATGTGGGATCCGAACCGGGGCCCTCTGGTGTCCCATGTCAGTTCTTAACCATCGCGCCACTCGGCTGGCCCTGTCCAGTCATTTTTTAAAATAATCAACTGACGTCCGATTCTGTCACATTAAAATCATTGTTTCAGTCTTGTGAGAGAAGCAGAGGCCTCTAGACCTGGTGAAATGTTTAATCACCACATCTATTACAGACTGTCATTTTACATCACGAAAAGCCTGAAATCGGCATAATTTTAATTTTTATTCTTGTGTTGTTGGTTTTTACATTTTAAATTACCAAGGAACCTGACACCAGTTACCCAGCTGTATGTCAGTGTGGATGCGAGCACTGAGGGCAGCCTGAAGAAAATCGACCGCCCACTCTTCAAGGACTTCTGGCAGAGATTCCGCGACAGTTTAAAAGCTTTGGCAGCAAAGGTAAGAATTATGACATCTTTCATGGAAAAAATAAATGAAGTAGAGAGAGGTTTTTTTTCCTTCTGTTTTTTTTCTTTTTAAAAAGACTAAATAAAATCTTCAACTTTTATTATTTAATAAATATTTATTGAGACCTAAGTTTGTAGTACTCTGCTTTACATGTGTATTTGCCAGCATATACAATATATATGTTGTTTGCCCCTCGTGTGCTTAGGGAGAGAGCAGCGGTACATAGCAACCCTGGAAGAGCTGTCAGCTGATAGTCTGTGTTTAAGCTTGAAGTTAATGTTCTTGACTTTCTAGAACTGAATCTCCTACCTGATGAGGAGCCCCACCTCAGACAGGCCAGATTAACCGCCTTTCCCTGCACACTGTTGCCCCTTCAAGTGCTGCCTTCTGGCGCGCCGACCTTCCTGCTCTTTAGACCTGAGTCACCTCTGTCCCTTCTTTCCCATTAGCCCCACATCTCAATAGTTGGCATTTTCTGTCAGTTCTACTTCTTTTCTTCTCTTGTAGCCATTTCCCCCTTTCTCTTCTCTGCTTCTGCCCTGCTGTTCTTCACGCTGTTACCCAAATCTGACTGAAAAGGAGAATTGCTGCAGGAGCTTAAAAAACGACAATTTCCCGTTTCCAGTGGGCTTTGAGAACCTGCATTTGAAATATCCCAGATGACTTACTGTGCACCAGTGACGGGAGTCACTGACCCAGGAAACCTCTCAGCTCTTACTTTGGCCCTGGTGCACACTTCCAGAGCCACTGTTCCCGATATCCCCAGGAATGTGATTCTTCCCTGCTTACGTTGCTGTTTCTGCACATGTGCCCGCTTTCCCTGAGCCTTTGGTTACCGCCTAGAGCCTAGATCATCCTTTCTTTCCATTTCTTTGACGTGGAAATTCTGTGCAGCCATCAGGGCTCAGCTTCATCCCTGCGTCTGCCCTGTTAGCTGCCCCTTTCTCCCTTCCTAAGTTTTGTATCTATAAAGACACTATTTCTTCTGGTTTATCCTAGCCTCTGTCCCCAATTGGATTTCTTCCTCATGTCTGAGTTCACACAATGTGTAGCACAGAGCATTTTATGGTATTGATGCATGTTTTTTAAAAGAATGAATGAGTAGAAACTCACCAGAGCTTTGTAGCGAGTGGTAAGATGTATCATGTACATTTTCTTGGCTGTTCAGCTGATTACATTTTTTACCCCCCTATTTCATGCTTGAGAAGTTAAATCAGTGCTCCTTTGGCAATTAACAATGACATTATTTAAGAAATGCAGAATTGGCATTACTTCGGTTTCTGATCTGTCTTAGTTTATTTATAAAGCTAGCAGGTTTGGTGCTTGTTGGGTTCCTAAAATCTCCTTGTGGACTTTACCTTCAGCCATATCCTCTTGTTATTGAAACAAGTAGGAGACACATGGCATAAATCAGGGGAGAGTAAGCAGCAGGAGCTGGCACTATCGGACCCACTGAGACTCTTAGCTTGACTGTGTTTTGAGTTCCTGTGGAAGATGAGGAGTAGCCATTAGCAGCTGGCTTAATGATTGGCTTTTTCTTACATTAAACATATATATTATTGTTACTATAATCTGATATCATTTAAGTTTTTAAGCAAAAACTTTTAAATAAAAAGCCGTTTCAGATATTTTAATTAGAATATCCATACTGTTATGTTCTGTTACTTATTGAGCGTTTTTGTTTATCTGAGCAAGGAAAGGCACTTGAGAGTTTCTTGAACTTTATTTGTTTATTTTTTTAATTAAAAAAATTTTTTTTATTAGTTTCAGGTGTAGAAAACAATGTAATAGTTAGACATTTATACCCCTCACAAAGTGATAACCTCCCTCCCCCAGTCTGCTACCCCTGTGACATAGTGTATAGCTGTGACAATTCCATTGACTCTATTCCCCACACTATACTCCACATCCCGTGACTATATATTAAATTATAGGG